GAGACTGGGAAGTGAGTTCAGTGGCTCTCAAGCTTCCTAATGCTGCGACCCTTTCATACAGTTCCTCATGTTGTGGTGACCTCTCAACCATGAAAGTATTTTCGTTGCTAGTTCACAACTGTAATTTTTGCCACTGTTATGAATCGGATGACTCCTGTCCCAAAGGGGTCGAGAACTGCTGCTCTAGTTGCTAGTAATGACTGTGCTGACTCATAGCGACCTGCCGGGTCAGGGTAGAACTGCCCCATGTGTTTCCGAGACTGTAGCTCTCTTCACGGGAGTAGAAAGCTTGTATTTATCCCAAGGAGCGGCTGGCTATAAAGCACACAAATGGCCTTCTGATTAGTGACTACAGCTGCCATTTGCTTCTTTAAAATGTTTCCCACTGCCCTCAAGTGGATTGTGGCACTTAGGGACCCACAGGATTGCTGAGGCTGTAAATCTTTTAAGGGAGCCGAGAAGCCTCATCTTTCTCCCTCAAGACTCAAACTGCTGACCTTATAGTTAGCAGCAAAATGTGCAGTTTATTTATTAGACCAGTTAGGCTCCTTTCCTTAAGGCGGTTCTCAACCTGTGGGTCTCAACCCCTTTGGGGGATTGAACGACCCTTTCACAGGGGTCGCCCGACATAACAGTAACAAAATGACAGTTATGAAGTAGCAACAAAAATAATTTTATGGTTGGGGGGGGCAGGTCACCACAACACGAGGGACTGCATTAAGGGTCCCGGCATTAGGAAGGTTGCGAATCCCTGCCTTAAAGTGTGTGTGTGTGTGTGTGTGTGTGTCCGTCTGTCCGTCCATCCCAGACTATGGCCCTATCACCCTTCAGGCCTAGGACTGAACTCACGCTTCGGCTCATTTTTTTAGCTAAACAATAGAAGGGTGGGTCGGTGAACAGTAAGCCCAGCAAAGCATGCCTTCCTTAGTAGCGTAATCAAACATTTGAGATCCAAAGGGCAACTCTGGCTCCAGGACTGAGTTCAGAAGACAGGCAAAGTTAGGACAGAGAGGACTGGAACTACTATGGGGGGAGGTGGTAGCAGTGACGAGACAGTGTGAGGGTTGCAATCAATGACACCAAACAACGTGTGTGAATTGTTGAATGGAAAACGGATTTGCTATGTTAAAAAAGAAAAGAAAAAAAAAAAAGAAAACGGATTTGCTCAAAACCTTCACCAAATTCACACCGAAATGTCTTAAAACATTAAAAATTGTATATGTTTAATATTTTATTACACTTTAGGTAAAAGTTTACCCTGCAAGTTAGCTTCCCGTTTGATGATTTCCTCACAAATCGCTCAGTGACGTTGTTAGTTTTATATATGTAAACAGGTTCGCTGGTTTCCCTGCCTCTCTACCCTCTCATCTCCGTGTTGGAGTAATTATTGTATTTCTTCTTTTTTTAAAACTGAACTGCCTTCTGCAGCTCCTAGGCCAAAGAAGCCAAATTCCTGGGCAGACCTGGCCACAGGGAGCGTGAAGTACATACCCCTCTGACGCCCTCCCTTGGTTCCCAGAGTGAGTGGTTAGCGCAGAGGCCTGGACTAATGGATATGCTTTCCCAGAACATTTCATTGGGAGCCACTCACAGATAGCACATCGTTCTGTAGTTCAATCCCCTCAAGCAGTGCTGTGCAATTGCTGCCACAATCCGTTTCAGACTATTCTCTGCCTTCTTGAACTCCTGGACATCAGCTCCCTTTTACACCCCACCCCCCCACTGTACCCCCAGACACCCATATTCTACTTGCTGTCTCCAGAGGTTCATCATAGAACTTTTTTTTAAGTTTATTTTTGAACTTCAAAAAGTGATACATACAATGAACAGTTCAGATTCAAAAGATACAAAGCATCATTTCCTCCTTGCTGGCTGCCCGGCTGCCCCACTGCTGCCAGTTAAGTGTTTTCAGTTTCTGGCATAGCCTACAAAAATATTTTATATGTATACAAATGGCATATTTACATAAATGTATACATACACATAACAAAAGTAGTTTATTACACAGAGTGTTCTTTATCATGTATTTTGGAAACATTTTGAATCTGTGCATAAAGGCATATAGGAATTCCTGCATTTCTCTTTTTTTTTAATGTCGCAGGTCTTTGTTCAAGAATACCATAATTTAATTAGGTCCACATTGCTGCATTTATTTACCCTTTAAAAGGATGAAGTTTTAAACTTCATGTAAGGGATTGGAATCTGTCAGGGTCTTTGAGTGTCTGAAAAAAAAAAAAAAGCGACCTTCAGAGGAGTATAAACATTGACCTTGGGTGTTTTTTGCTTTGTTTTTTAACTTTGCAGACAGTTGGCAGAGTTTTCTTTTCTCTTTTGTTTCATCTCATCGTACTTATTCTTTTTTTTTTTTTTTAACATTTTATTAGGGGCTCATACAACTGTTATCCCAATCCATACACACATCAATTGTGTAAAGCGCATTTGTACATCATTCTCAAAACATTTTCTCTCCATTTAAACCCCCGACATTAGGTCCTCATTTTTCCCCTCCCTCCCCGCTCCCCCCTCCCGCATGTGCCCTTGATAGTTTATAAATGGGTATTTTGTCATATCTTCAGTTGGCAGATTTTTCATGTATAAAAAGTAGCCCTTCTGTTTTCTCTCAGGAAATTCCCCCCCCACTTTTTTTTTAATTAATCATTTTATTGGGGACTCTTACAAATCTTATGACAATCCGACATTGAATTTTATTAAGCACACTTGTACATATGTTGCCATCTACATTTCCAAAAGAGAGGTAATTTTTTTTTGAGATGGTAATTGGTGTTATAATTTGTATTTGGTTTTAAATCATTTTATTGGGGGCTTGTCCAACTCTTATCACAGTGTCAAGCACATTTGTGCATTTGTTGCCATCATCATTCTCAAAACATTTTCTTTCTACTTGAGCCTTTGGTATCAGCTCCTTATTCTTTCCCCTCCCTCCCCCGCTCCTGTGTTTCAGGAAATTCTTTGGCAGTATTTCATGTGCTTCTCTACTGTGCTTTGTTGAGACTCTAAAACCAGTTGCCCTGAGTCTGCTCCGACTTGGGGAGTCCCTATGGCAACCGGAGGGAGGGTGACATTGCCGACCCCCTGGGCTTTCTTGGAAGGACTGGTGCCGTCCTCGGAAGGGCCGGCCCTGACAGCCCAGGGTCGCAGGAGTTGGGGCTCGCTCTTCTACCTTCTGCTGCCGCCTGAGCGAAAGACCCATTTGTCAGAGGAGATAACAGCCCATGCCGTCTTGGTGTTACTGGTGACAGCAGCGCCGTCCCATGCTTTTTTCTAGTTATAAAGACTGCTAATCGACACGGAATTCAGAAGAGCTGTGGTTTGCCACTTAAGTTCCTGAGCCATTCTTCGACCTGAGCAGGCACAGCACATTTTAAGAGTCCAATTATGAGAGGAGCTAGCAGAATGGGAGCTGTGAGGACCAGGGGTGGCTGGCGGTGCTGACTTCAGCACCCCTGAGTCCTGGCCCTCCCTCTGTCCCAGGAGGAAGAGGAGGTAGAACGGGAAATCATAAAACAGGAAGAAAGTGTGGATCCTGACTACTGGGAGAAACTGCTGCGGCACCATTATGAGCAGCAGCAAGAAGATCTGGCCCGAAATCTGGGCAAAGGAAAAAGAATTCGTAAACAGGTCAACTACAATGATGGCTCTCAGGAGGACCGAGGTGTGTGTGGCCGGCCCCGCCCCCCACCCATGGGCCGATCTACTAGAGCAGTGGGCCCCGCTCATCTGCCCTCTCTCCCTCCAGATTGGCAGGACGACCAGTCCGACAACCAGTCCGATTACTCGGTGGCCTCAGAGGAAGGTGATGAAGACTTTGATGAACGCTCAGAAGGTGAGCGCTAGGCCTTCCTGCTGGTTCGCCAAGCACTGCGTGCGTTTGCTCAGACCCTTCCCAGTGTCCCTCATACAGGCTTTTTTCTTGTTGCAGCTCCCCGCAGGCCCAGCCGTAAGGGCCTGCGGAATGACAAAGATAAGCCATTGCCTCCTCTGTTGGCTCGAGTTGGTGGGAATATTGAAGTAAGTGCCCTGAGGTTCTAAGGAGGGACAGGGTGTGTGCCAGATATTGCGGCTTCGGGAGAAGAGTAAGACCTGCTCTCTCAACCCAGACTCCTCTCCTCCCCGCCCCCCACCCCCAGGTACTTGGTTTTAATGCTCGCCAGCGAAAAGCTTTTCTTAATGCAATTATGCGATACGGAATGCCACCTCAGGATGCTTTTACCACCCAGTGGCTTGTGAGAGACCTTCGAGGCAAATCGGAGAAAGAGTTCAAGTAAGTCGAGCTGTGGCCACGGCTCCGGGGGATGGCTTTCTATCCAGTGGTGTCACACAGGGCTAGGCAGGGCCTCGCCGGCAACCAGGTGGTTCGCCTCTGGAGAGCGTGGCAGGTGGCTGTTGAGCACAGATTTCTGTGTGTTCCGCCTCTCCAGGGCAAGCACCTGGGGCTGGCTGTGGGCTCTGGAGCCTGTCCGTCTTCAGTGCTGTTGTGGAAGCCCTGCCATCGTTGGCCCGTTTCACTCATCTACTCTGCTGCTTTGCTCCAGGGCCTACGTGTCTCTCTTTATGCGGCATTTATGTGAACCGGGAGCTGATGGGGCTGAGACCTTTGCTGATGGGGTCCCCCGAGAAGGCCTGTCTCGCCAGCACGTCCTGACTAGAATTGGTGTCATGTCCTTGATACGAAAGAAGGTGAGCCGAGAGCCTCTCTCCAGTTGCTCCGGGTCCCCAGGGAAGGTGGAGGGCCAGCAGGAAAGGGCTGAGCGGGAGACGTCAGCTGTGTGTCCCGTGGCTACAGGTTCAGGAGTTTGAGCACGTGAACGGGCGCTGGAGCATGCCTGAACTGGCTGAAGTCGAGGAAAACAAGAAAATGTCCCAACCGGGGTCACCGTCCCCAAAGACTCCAACACCCTCCACTCCTGGGGACACACAACCCAATACTCCTGCCCCTGCCCCACCCACTGGTACGTCTCCGTGTTGGCCTTTCCTCTCTCTCGTCCTGGCCCCCGAGTGTCCCTGCTCCCCTGTGCTCAGCTGTGGCAGGGGGGCCTGAGGCAGGACGTACAGCATCTCCCTCTCAGTTTAGGAGGGCTGTCCTAAGCACGGGGCTGGCTCTTAAAGGCACGAGAGGACATTTCAGAATGTGACTGTGGGAAGGTGTGGCCTTCTTGCATTTCTAGGACCGTTTTCCTAACTGATTGCCTCCTCTTGGTCCGCAGAGGATGGGATAAAAGCAGAGGAGAATAGCCTCAAGGAAGAGGAGAACACAGAAGGAGAAAAGGAGGTTAAATCTACAGTTCCCGAGGCCACCGTGGAAGTAAGATTGCGGGGGTGGGGTGTGGGTGGTAACCCATGCGTCCCTTGTGCTGGCCTGCCTGCTTCATGGTCTGTCTGTCTTCCTTTGAAGTGTACACAGCCCCCTGCCCCTGCCCCTGCCCCCGAGGATGAAAAGGCCCTTGTTGGGCCTACTGAGGGAGAGGAGGAAGTGGAAAAGGCAGAGGCGAAGGAGAGAACAGAAGAGCCCATGGAGACGGACTCCAAAGGTAGCTACATTTGCCAGCACTGCGGGTCCGTCCGGGTGAAGCCCAGTGGCTCTTGGACTTCCAGCCAGGCTACCAGGGAAAAGTGATGTCCTGGAGTTATGAACCCTTGATTTTAATTGGACCTCTTTCCCCCACCACTTAGACTTTTAAAAATTTATTTAAATGACTTTAAAGCTGAGCCATGACTTTGAGCACTGACTGTAATGATCTGGATTTTCATCACTGATTTGTAGGACTATTCCGTTGGCTGAGTGGACCAGGGGACAGGACAGGCTTCTTTCTTTAGGTGTTCTCCTAATGCCATCTGTCCCCACAGGGGCTGCTCAGGTGGAGAAGGCAGAGGAGAAGTCAGCAATAGATTTGACCCCCATTGTGGTCGAGGACAAAGGTGGGTGTTCGGAGACACTGATCCGTGTGGCTTAGAAGGTCTCAGTCAGAAGCCAGGACTCATCCCCCAGGTTCCCCCGTCCACACTCCGAGCCACCTCCTCCCAGGCTGAGTGGCTCTTCTGTCCCCAGTCAGCAGTGTATCAGCAGCACCTTTTCCCTGGGTCTGGGCGGGGCTGGCGGGGACTGGGTATTGGTCGGGCCTTGCCACGGGCACCGTCCTCACGCGTGCGTGCCTTTCAGAAGAGAAGAAGGAGGAGGAGGAGAAGAAGGAAGTCATGCTGCACAATGGAGAAACGCCCAAGGAGCTGAGTGACGAGAAGCAGAAAAAGAACATCAAGCAGCGTTTCATGTTCAACATCGCAGACGGTGGTTTTACCGGTATGGGAATGGAGGCCCCTGGCACTAGAGGGATCGAGCATGAAACTGAATGTCTTCTCAGAAACTGGGGAACCGAGGCCAGGCCCTTAGTAGAGCTGGGCCTGCCGGCCTAAGGGCTCACTGCCCACAGGCGCACTGCTGAGGAGGTGGGTGCGGATCCAGTGTGACCGTTCAGACCCTCACAGCTGCATGCGTTTCCCTCTCTTCCCGGCCTTCTCCAACGCCGCCTCCCTCAGAGCTGCACTCCCTCTGGCAGAATGAGGAACGGGCAGCCACCGTCACCAAGAAAACGTACGAGATCTGGCATCGACGCCATGACTACTGGCTGCTAGCTGGCATCATAAAGTATCCTTTGCCCGAGTCTGGGCTTGGGGGCTGGGTGAGGGTTCTGAGGCCTTCCCACACGAGGGCCGAACTGCGTTGTGCTTTTCCTGAGTCCTTCCCATTAGTCACGGCTATGCCCGGTGGCAGGACATCCAGAACGACCCCCGCTACGCCATCCTCAATGAGCCTTTCAAGGGTGAAATGAACCGTGGCAATTTCTTAGAGATCAAGAACAAGTTTCTAGCGCGAAGGTTCAAGGTAGGCAGCATGGAGGGGGGGGGCACACCTTTATGGCACTCCCGCACGCAGGTGGGGGGGGCGTTGAGTCGAGTCGGGCAGTCTCATTTCTTCACCCACACTGCTTGCCGTGTGCTCCTGGGCTCTTCAGTCCCTTCCCTGAGCTTGGCTTTGATGAGGGACTTTCCTCCCAAGTGTTGGACGCACGAGAGACAGAGACGCAGCCTCGAAGGGCACGGAGAGTGGGCAGCATGTGAGAACTGCAGATGGCTTTGCCTCATGAGGGCCACTGACTGCTAGAGTGGGCTTGGGGTGAGGTGGCAGGGAACGACATGTAATTGAGTGTTCAGGAAAGTAATACAGAAGCGGCCTTGAATGGGGTCCCGGAGGAAGTCAGGCCATCTGGGGGCCCTTTTTCCTGGTCGCAGAGTTAACTACGCGGAGGAACGGTAGTGATGGATGCAGAGAGGAGATGTGCAGACACAATCATTAAGGCTAAGCCTTAGACTGAACAACTGAAGGGACAGGACATGTAGGCCATCAAATGGGAGAGTAGGATGCGGGCCCTTGCACTATAAGAATTGGGGTGGGGAGTTATGTACAGAAACGAACCTTTGTGAGCTAAGCCATCACTCGACAAAGGGATGAAGAGCAAAGAATGGCCTGTTCTTGAGAAACTGTTTCAAGTAGAGGCGATGTGTGCCCAGATGCCCACCCTTCAGCGTAGAGGAGTCTGGGAGAGGAAAGGTGCTCGCAATTGGCTTCATGGAGACAATGACATTGGACTCGTGTGGGACAGCAAGTGTTACATAGGGATTGGATTGGGCAAAGACATAGAGACCTAGGGCATTCAGAAAGAGCAGATAGTCCATTGGGTTGTAGAGGACATCTGTTGGAGATAAGTTGGAAGCTATTAGGGGTATGGACTAGGACAGTGGGTGGGTTTTCACACTGAATACACTGTGAACTTTATAGTTTAGTGGGCAACCTTTGAAGGTCTGTGAATACATTAATATGAATAGGGAATCGGTAGCACTCATGAGACTATAGAACTGTCACCGAATCTTGAGGTGTCAGAGACTTGTGCTATGACGCTAGTGTGGGGACCGAAAAAGCTAGGATAAAGGAAACAGTGCTGGAGGGGTTGGCAAATGTTCTCTACATAGGGCCAGATGGTACAGAGTTTAGACTTCACAGGCCATCCCGTCTGCCAATAATTGGTTTTGCCATTGTAGTGTCAAACCCCTCACCCCCCCACCCCCACCCCAGTCCATTCTGACTCATGGTGACCTTATAGAACTGCCCCTGTGGGTTTGGGGGAGATTGAGTCTTTACCAGGAGTAGAAGGCCCCATCTCCCTGTGAAAGCCACCATAGCTGATACATAAATGAATAAGCATGAGTGCATGTGTTCTGAAAAAAGCTATGTATGTACTCTAAAGTTTTAGTTTTGTATATTGCTCACAAAGTGTTCTGAAATAGTTTTAGTTATGCTTCAACCATTTAAAAATATTTAAAAGATCCTTAGTGCTGCAGTGCTTGAGTGGAGTTGCTAGCTGCAAGATCAGCAGTTTGAAGCCACCGGCTACTCCACAGGTGACAGGTGAGGCTTTCTGCCCTTAAGGAGATTTGCAGCTGCAGAAGTCCAAGGGGGGATTTCCACTCGGCCCTGTAGGGTTGCCACGAGTCAGACTTGATTAGATGGCAGTGAGAGGGAGGAGGAAAAATGGAATCACTTTTCTCAGCTCCTAGACTGTACAGAAATAAGGCAGTGGACCATAGTTAACCTGTGAGCCATAGTTTGCTAACTTTTGACTTTTACTATAAGGAGCTCTGGTGACGGAGTGGTTATTTGTTGGGCTGTAACCACAGGGTCAGCAGTTTGAACCCACCAATCACTCCATGGAAGGAAGATGAGGCTCTCTGCTCCCTTGAAGATTAGTACACTTGAAAACTCGGGGACAGTTCCACCCTGTCCTCTATGGTCGCTCTGAGTTGGCACCCACTTGATCACAGTGGGTTTGGTGGTGGTTTTTGTTTTGACTTTTACTAATTTGAGGTTCAGGGAGTGGAACTCCAAGCTGCTTTAAGACTGCCTTTCTCTTCGTTCCGCTGAGCTGCTGTCACAGTCACTGCGCGTAGCAGGCTAGGAATACAAACTCGGGCGCCCTGCTCTAAAGGAAGGCGTCTCCATGAGGTCCTTCTGTGTGGCATCTCTCTGGTTCCCTCTGCTAATGTGCCTAACCTGCTCTTTGGAAACCCAGGAGTGCTTGTTTGCTTTGAGACTCTGGGCTGATGTTGTGTTAACATAACAAAAGGTAGGGTTTGGCGTATAGGAGTTAGGCTTTACAACACTTAATTTTTGGCAGACATAATTTAGTCCACAACTGAGAAAGTGAAGTCAGACGGGCAGATGACGAGAAATGAGAAGTCTGTATGAAAACCATGAGTTTGGTTTTGGTTTTAGATCCGTTGCCTGTTTGGTGTTTGACCACCGCCATGAATGAGAGGGAGAATGCGGTGAAAGAACAGCAGTGAGCCAGAGGCTAAGCCTGGTTCCTCACACAGAACCTCATCTTTCCATTGGGACTGAGGGAAGAGTGTATAGATGGAAAGGAGATGCTTGGTCTCTTGGGGTCTAAGTTCTCAAGAAGACCCACACCCACTGCCATTGAGTTGATTCCCACTCAAATCAACCTTTGTAAGGCTGCCAATTTCTAGGTGAGCCGACAGCCTCATCTCCCCAGGACGGGCTGGTGGGTTTGACCACTGATCTTGTGATTAACAGCCCTACACTTACCTGACGGTGCCACCACGGCTCCTCGGGACCTAAGATCGTAAGCCCTGATAGGGCCATGTCTTGTGGGAGAAACACAACAGCCTGCCACTCTCAGACCATTCCTTCTCCTGGCCCCTGTCGAAGTCATTCTCTTTAAGAACAGTAGACACTTGAGCAAATTAAATCTTTTCATAACTACGACCTCACATTTCACTTTCTGAGCCCCTCCCCCAGCTCTTACAGGTGAGGTGCAGGAGTGTTCATTACAGTACGGTGTTTGGGTGGAGGGGGTGGGGGCATCTGAGAGTGGGTGGGTACAAGGCGGATTTGTATCATTGATGATTAAGAGCAGAAGCAACAGAAACTAAGTGCACATAACAACGTAGATCCCCTTTAAGTAAGAAGAACACGGCGTGGGAAAAGGAGTGCAGGACGCTTCACCTGTACTGAGCATCTTCTCGAACTTGAAACTGGCACCTGGAGAAACTTACACGCGTTTTCAAGAACACTCACAAAAAGACGGCCGTATATTAGAACAACGGTTGACGGCTAAGGGAAGGTGGGGAATGGGACCCCCGGGGGCAGGAGAGGCACAAGTATTTGCGAAGACTAAAACCAGTTAAGTGACACGGCAGGCATATCTTACTCGGAGAAACGGCTCAGGTTCCCATTCCACCTATTGAAAAACAGGCTTTGAAGGTGAAAACAGTACACTTTTTAAATTTCTTATTACCTTCTGCAGTCTCTAAAAGATCTTTTAAACATTTGTAGGTGAGAATCAATAAAGGGTAGACTTTTTGAAAACATGGCCCCAGTCAAAGCAAAAGTGTTGAGCCGTTGGGCCTTGGGAGCGTGTGGTCTTGCTGATGACCTGGACGACGGCGCTGGCTGCTGGGGAAGCTGGGAAGCCTGTCAGATAGTTGGTCCAACTCCTCTCTCTCTCTCTCTCCCCACCCCCCACGCCCAGCTCTTGGAGCAGGCCCTGGTGATTGAGGAGCAGCTGCGCCGGGCAGCCTACTTGAACATGTCAGAGGACCCCTCCCACCCTTCCATGGCCCTAAACACCCGCTTTGCTGAGGTGGAGTGCTTGGCGGAGAGTCATCAGCATCTGTCCAAGGAATCCATGGCAGGAAACAAGCCAGCCAATGCCGTCCTGCACAAAGGTAGCCAGTGGCTCCCCTGCCTCCTGCTGGGTCGGCTGCCTTCACCCTACTTACTGTTCCCCCAACAAACACGCACACACAGCCACCCCCACCCCCCAATCTTTGCAGACCTTTGTCAGGGCCCCTTCAGGAGCTCAGAATGTGCTGGGAACCTTTGCTTTTTTCCTTGGCAGTTTATCATCTCTTAGCGGCAATGAAGGATAGCCGGTCTTCCTTTCTTGTAACTTGTAAGCCGCATCCCCTCTGCTCCTGGAAGGGCCAGGTTGTTGGAGGTGGGAAGCAGAGAGATTAGTATCGTGTCACCTGGGAATCTTCAGAGGTGATGTCAGGTGATTGGAGAGTCCTTCAAATTCTAGGCCCCCTTCGCCATTTTGTTCCTAGTGGAAATGAAGCATTGCCGGATGGTGGAGGGTGGAATGAGGGAAAGGCTGCTACAGGGGGGCAGGAGACACAGCCCGAAGGGAGAGAGGACAGCCAGCAAGGGGATGACTGGAAGAGATGGGAGCAAGGCAGCGGGGAATTAGTACACCCCTGGGACACCTGCAAGTGAAATAAGAGAAAGGAATTTGAGGACAGTGTAGAGCCAGGTCAAGTGACTCAGTGGCCAAAGAGAACACGTGACCATCTAGCATATAGCAGTCACTTGGTGATTAGCAGTGCTGGGGGGCTGGCGCACGGTTGTAGGCCTGGACCACTCTAGCTCACTGGCTTCCCCCTGCCCCCCTGCAGTTCTGAAACAGCTGGAAGAACTGCTGAGCGACATGAAAGCCGACGTGACTCGACTCCCAGCTACCATCGCTCGGATCCCCCCCGTAGCCGTGAGGCTACAGATGTCAGAGCGCAACATTCTCAGCCGCTTGGCCAACCGAGCACCTGAACCTACTCCACAGCAGGTAGCACCGCCTTCCAGTTCTGCTAGCTCGTCTAGCAGAACTCTGCAACATGTAGCTTTGCTGGATGTCTCTAGGCTTAGATGCTGAAGCAGGCAGGGCTGGCTTCTCCGAGAGCTTTCCTTGGGACTTGGGGTGGATTCCTGGGCTCTGGAATTCTGACTCTACTGTCTCTTTCCCTGTAGGTAGCCCAGCAGCAATGAAAAGCAGGTTGAAGATAACCACCTCCATCGCTGAGCAGTGACCTTCCTCTCTTCCCCTGTCCCAGCTTCTCCCCTGGGGGCCTGAGAGACCCTCTCCTTCCTTCTGCCCCATCTTCCACCTTGTAAAGGAACAACCCCCACGCACTGGGGGAGGGGAGTGAGGGGCAGCCATGCCCTTCCTGCTGGAGAGACGGGCAGCAGTAGCGCCGGCGCCATCTGCAGGGAGCTGGCGGGCTGGCCCTCGCCTGGGCCCGGGCTTCTCCCCACAGTAACGTCTGTTACACACAAACTGTTGTGGGCTCCCGCCAGGCTTGAAGAAAATGATCTGGATTTTGTCCTCCTTTTGGTTTTATTTTTGTGTTTTATTTTAGTCCTTTTTTGGGGGGTGGGGGGGATAATTCAGAGCGGGCCGGGCCCCTGGGCGAGACACAGCTACCTCTGTTGGCATCTTTTTAATACCAGGAACCCAGCGGCTCCAGCCACCGAGCGGCCAGAATGAAATACAAGTGAAGGGAAGAAAAACAAAACAAAAAAAAAAGGAAAAGAACCAAAAGCATAGAAAACCACAGCAACTTCTTGATGAGAATTGAAAATAAAAGTTTCCTTGTATTTTAGTGCTCTGGCTCAGTGTGGGTATAGGTACCGGTGGGTGAGTGCGCTCAGGACAGAAGCCGCATTCCCTCGGCTCTTGGAAGGGCCATGCTATGCCTATGTGCTCTGACCAAGGATGACTTTCAAAAAATACCCCGTGGATTCCAATTAGACTGGTAGGTCAAGGCAGGCCGCCAGGTCTGTGCCGTACATTGTAGATGGTGAGTTCAAGCCATGCTGACCTACTGAAAAGCCGAATGTGTTAACCGCTGCACACTTGACAGGATCCTCACACCTAGGTTCATACCCTGCACTGCCATTAATGGCACCACGACCTTGAGAGAGGAGCCTAGCGGGCGCAGCCCAGCCGTTAATAATCACTAGCCAAACCCACAATAGGGGCACTGAATCAGGATGGAAGGTGGCAGCAAGTTTGGTTTTGGAGCAAGTTGCCTAGAAAGTTTTGTAGAAATTGAACCAGGAAGTGCTGGGAATGGTTTTTTTTTGGTGGGGGGGGTGTTAGTGGGTTTAGTCTGCTAACTGGCAAGGGCAGCAGTTTGAACCCACCCACCAAGCTCTCCAAGGAGAAAGATTGACAGTTCTGGAAACCCACAGGCCTCCTCTCTGCCCTATAGGCCCACTGTGGGAAATCACTTGACAGTGGGCGGGTAAATGAGCACTGTAAGGAGCCCTGGTGGCTCCGTGGGCTAAGCTAAGCAGGTCAGCAGTTGGAAGTCAGCAGCTCCTGGGGAAAAAGGCGAGGCTGGCTGTACCTTTGAAAACTTCAAGGAGCTGCTCTGGTGCCGTCCATGGGGTTGCTGAGAATGTGCAATAGGTTGAATTTAATGAGTGAAGCAGGGCGAATGTGAGTTTTTGTGGTGGTTGAGATGTGTGGAACTGAGCCCCAAGATGACTCCCTTCCCTACTGTCCTAATCGGGGCCAAGCAAGAGCCTGTAGAGCTGGGGTTCTCAACCTTCCTCATGCCGCGACCCTCTTATACAGTTCATGTGGTGGTGACCCCCAACCATAACATTATCTCCGCTACATAACTAATTTTGCTATCGTTATGAAACGGGCGACCCCTGTGAAAGGGTCGTTCGACACCCCCTTCCCCCAAAGGGGTCGCGACCCACAGATTGAGAACTGCTGCGGTAGGGTGACCATGTAAGTGGGTCTCCTAATTAAAAGAGGTACCCCCCGAAAAGCCCCAAACTCGCCGCCATCGAGTCGATAGCGAGCCTATAGTGCCGATACTGTAACTGCGGGAGCAGAAAGCCCTGTCCCCAGCAGTGGCTGCTGGTTTCGAATTGGGGACTTCGCGGTTAGCAACCCAACGCGTGACTAAGCGACGAGGGTTCCAGCATCTGCAGCACAGGGCGGGGCAGAGGTCCCCCCCACCCGTACCGGACTGTACCAAAAACGGGGGCCGAAGAGTCGACCCTGCAGGTCGGAGTAGAACTGGCAACCCTTCCTCCTCCTCTCCGTCCCCGGTGGGACTGGGCAGTCGTGCCAACTTCTCCGGACTTTAGGACTTCGGCGAGGCAAACCGCCGAGGCCGGGAGGGAAAGGCGGGGAAGCTGAGTGGCTCGGGTGACCCTCCCCGCCCTCCGTTTGGGCCGGTCGGCGCCCGGCGCCGGGCCCCGAGCAGCTCCGGCCGACGCCGGCGCAGCGTGCGTTCCCACGGCGACCGCAGGTTCCGGGTCGGGCGGGCACCGGAGGCAGCCGGAAGAGGCGGGGCTTCGGGCGACGGCGCCGCGCGCGCGCGCGAGGCGTTTCCGGGGAGTGTGACGTCCGGAGACCAGCCCGCGGAGTGCACGTGGAGTGCGGCCCCTGAGATTAAGGGGTACGGTAGCCCGAGCCCGTTTTCGGGTGAGCGGAGACTTGGGGCGGGTCTCGCGGGAGCCAGGGAAGGAAGGGCGCTCGCCCTGACCAGGCCTGGGGCGGAGGGCAGGGGGCGCGGTAGCAATGGCGTGGGGCCCGGACTCGGGTCTCCAGGCGGGGTTGCTCGGGCCTCGAGGGGCTGTCGGGGGTGCTGAGCTGGTGTTCTGCGGCGCCCCTTCCGACGCACGCGACTCGATTGCCTCTGATTTTTCTTCTCCTCAGGACCATGGGGCGCAAGTTGGACCCTACGAAGAAGGAAAAGCGTGGGCCCGGCCGAAAAGCTCGCAAACAGAAGGGTGCTGAGACAGAGCTTGCCAGATTCTTACCTGCAGGTAAGGGTCAGTGGTGGCCGCCTGGTCCCCCAGCTGTTAAGCCATTTTAAAAAATGGTATCCTGATGCCCTCTACCTCCTTCTAAGTCTGTCTTTAATCTCTGCTCCGGAGTTACTAGGAAAATAGGGTGAGTGAAACACCGTCAGTGCCTTCAGTGTGTAGAACTTGGAGAAGATGGGTCAGAAGGAACGCAAGTGCCTATGCCACAGGAAATGGGTTAGTCTAGTGGGATTTCAGAGGAAAGGAGGGAGAGAGGGTAGAGTGAAATTTGAAAAGATCTTGGGAAAGAGTCGGGTGTTGGGAAAGAGGCATTTTGGGGAGGGATAGAGAGGGGAAAGCATCCCATCCCCACAGTGGTGCTGGTGTGTAGTCTCTGACTGTAGGGTGGCAGCCTGGTACCGGGAGGACAGAAGGTATGTTTGCATTGGGCTTTGGATAGATGTGCTTTATTGTGGTATTAGTGAGTGCCTGGTACTATTCTGAACCTTGATACATCCTATTACTTAATCGTCACACGGTTGTCAGGAGTTACAGTTGAGGAAATAGAAATTGAGAAGCTATGTAACTTGCATACAGTTATTAAATGACAGGCCTGAGACGCCACTTTCGATTTCCTGGAGAAGGTATGAAAAACAACAATTGTGAAGGCAAAAGTCCTGGGCGTTGCTAAGGGATTAAATTGAGTAAAGGAACGGACAAGTAGAGATGCTTCAACTCTGTTGCCACCAGACTTGCTTTATTGAATTTGGAGGCTGCTATCTTTTATCCAGCTCCTGGCGATGTACTGTGGAGTGAGAAGCAATCTCCCAAAACAAAAACTGCTGGCCATTCCTAACTCACAGAAATATCCTGGTGGGTTTCCAAGACGGTAGCTCTGTACAGGAGGGGGAAGCCTCACGTTTCTCCTGCAAAGCAGCAGGTGCTTCCAAACTGCTGGCCTCCCAGTTAGTTGCCGAAGGCGTAACCATATAGCCTCTTGGGCTCCTCACGTCGCATCGACTCTCTTTACTTGGTCCACTAATTGTCTGCCCACCTTCATGTGCTTCTCCATTTCCACCTTCATTTCCCCTGTCTCTTATTTTGCCTTTTGTCTTCTTCTTTTCAAACAGATGCTGACGAAAGTTCTAAGAGGCTGTCTAGTCGGGCTAGAAAGAGGTGAGTAGTATCCTCACTATGTAGATAAGTTGGTACTGCTGTGTCTTGAGTGACATTGGGAAGGGGGGAGGCGCTCCTTGGATGAAGAGGGCTCCTTTGGGATGCTCATCGTTTCTGAGCGGTGGTGGGTGGGCGGGATGGAACCTGGAGCTGTGTTCCCATCTGCTCACCCCTTTATCTTGTCAGGGCGGCCAAGAGGAGGTTGGGCTCTGCTGAAGGCCTGAAGTCGAACAAGTCCCCTGGGGCCAAACCGTTGCCTGGAAAGCTGCCCAAAGGTCCGTGGAAATAGTCGGGGGTGATGGGAGGGGTCCTCCGGGTCTGGGTAGAGCAGGACTCACAGACATTAGGGGTGAAAGGGACAACCGGAGGACGTTTTTTAGGAGTGACAAGTTCCGGTTCTGGGTGTGGGTGCCAGCGTTCAGTCCAGGGTCCTCAGCTGTTACCCGCACTGCAGGAGCTGTCCAGACCCAGGTGTCTGGCAAGAAGGGAGCCTCGCCAGTGCGTGCTGTTGGTTACGGCGGGAAGCGCCCGGCGCCGTCCCCTAGCAGTGATGAAGACGAGGAGGAGGAGGACTCTGAAGGTGGTGTGGTGAGCCAGGGACTCCTCTGGGGCTCGGAGGACAGTGAGGCTGACATGGTAGACGACTACGGCGCCAACTCCCGCTCCGAAGGAGAAGAGGATGGAGGGGAAGAGGTGAGGTTCAGGGAGCACCCAGAAATGGGTTCTTGCCTTCCTCGTTTCGTTCTGGAGACTGCCCCTCCGTGATTTAGGAAAAGGATTTAGAGCTGTCGCTTGTTCAACTGTCCTGCGCCCTTTCTGAGCGGGTAAAATACAGCCATGCCCATGAGGGAGGCATGTGGTCAGATGAAAGCTTGTCGGCCCCCTCTCTGGCAGTGGAGGTGTATGTGTATTGTTACTCAGTTGTTTGCCCTCTAAGAACAGTGTCCGCGTTTTTGGCCTAGTAATTCCCTGTTGAGTAAGATAATCCAAATGTGGGCAAAGAATTACATATTGCATAGTTAGTATGTGTGCATATTAGCAAAATTAAACTTATCACAGTGCCACAAGTCTCTTTATACCAGCCACTACAACCCCTTTGTCTCTACAGTTAATTTTATCAGTTTTGTAGGCACCAGGCTGATGAGTTAATAAAAACCTCACTGCCATTGAGTTGATTGCCACAGGTCGTCACCCCCAATAGGGTTTTTTAGATCGCAAGTCTTCATGTGTTCAGACAGCCTCAGTTGCGCTCCCAAGGAGTGGCTGGTGGGTTTGAACTCCTGACCTAGCTATTTCCTTCACAGTGCCACCAGAGATAGTGTCCCCCAAACCTGGAGATTTCCATAGTAGCCAATATACTTAAGTAAGTAATGGTGCATGTAGATGGTAAATTCACATTTGGCCATTGTATTGTTTATGCAAGAAACAAACTTGTGAATACATTAATTTTTAATTCACGTGGGATACAGAAAGCATAAGTCTAGGAGAAAACACAATAAAATAAATAACCGATGGCAATTTCTGGCCTTCCTATATACAAAGATGTGGGTGTTTGCTCATGTCTTGAAGTGTTTTGTTTTGGAAAAGTGAGGTAGAGTAACAACAGTCTGTCACTTAGTTTCAACCTGCTGTTCGTTTCTTTACAGTATCCCTATTTCCTTCTAAGAACAAGTGTTACATTTGTATCTGAAAAGCAATAAAATGCAGAGATAGAAAGTATTTCCTGGGCTGGCAGGCAGCCAGGTTTTGCATTACTGCCACCTAGTCTCTGGCATCCCTGGGTGATAGGAAAGGCCAACGCATGCAGTGCTGAGCAGAAAGTTGGTGCTTCTAGTCTACCTAGGAGCAAGCCCTCCGTTCTCTGATGGAGATGGGCTCCCCGAGTTGGAATTAACTTGACGGCCAGTGTTTGGGGTCTCTTTCTCAGCTGCTGCCCATTGAAAGGGCTGCCCGGAAGCAGAAGGCTCAGGAGACTGATTTGGGGTGAGTTTTGTAAACTGAGGGAGAAAATGGGCAGCAGCTGGGGTTGGGGGGTGGTACTGTAAGGATGGATGAGAGGGTCTGAGAGCCATCTGTTTGGGGTCCCGTTTCTAGAAGCCTGTGGAGTGAAGAGGAGACTGATGAAGAGGAGGGCGCACCATCCGCGGAGCCAGGCCCCACCAAGGATGATGAGCAGGAAGGGGAGCTGCAGATCAATGTGGATGAGGAGGAGCCCTTTCTGCTGCCCCCTGCTGGGGAGGCGGAGCAGGATATCCTTCCAGTGCAGTCTGGAGGGGGTGGGGGGGTGGAGGTGCTTTGGAAGGTGGCTTCGGCTCACGCTGCAGGACCCAGTTCCTTAGCAGGCCACGTGCGCAGGCTGCAGACCTGCAGCGAGTTCATAAGCGGATCCAGGATATCGTGGGAGTGCTGCGGGATTTTGGCAAGCAGCGGGAAGAAGGCCGGTCTCGTTCTGAATATTTGAGCCGCCTTCAGAAGGACCTGGCCGCCTACTACTCCTATGGCGACTTCCTGCTTGGCAAGCTCATGGACCTCTTCCCGCTGTCTGAGGTAGGGCCACGTCACCTCCTCCCCTGTGTGAGGAAGGCTACTGCCCTCTTGCTGTCTCTTCTCTGACTGGGCTCCTTGGCTGGCCGGCTGTCTTTTCTCCCCAGCTGGTGGAGTTCTTAGAAGCTAATGAGGTGCCTCGGCCCATCACCCTCCGAGCCAATACTCTGAAAACCCGGCGCCGAGACCTGGCTCAGGTGAGGGCTGGGTTGTCAGGTTGGGATTCCCCTACTCCACCTGACTTTTGGGCCTTCCTGCCTAAGCATTTCTTGGTCAACCAAGGTCATAGCTTGGTGTCATGCTGGGCCTTGCACTCAGAGCCTCTGTGGAATGAGAAGCCAGTACTCTGATCAGAAATACAAAGCCCGGCGTTCCCTGTGACTGGGTTGAGCTCGGCATCAAAACCCAGCCTACAAGAGAAACTGGAGGGGCTGCTGTCTGCCTTCCAGATCCTCCAGAGGCTGGTGACAGCTGCGATTCCCCTCCTGCGAAAAAGACTCACTCTCTGAAGCTGGTTCTGCCCAGGGGCTGAGGGCTCCCGGGATACAGGCTGCTGGTCCAATGCTGGCCAGGGCCTGTGTTAGGCATCTTCTGGTGTGAAAGTAACCCGATGCTCGGGTTTCCTGGGCGGAGACTCTTCCAGAAATTCTTAGAGTAGGAGCTCCATGTGCTGGGTGTTAGGACCTCAAGTGAGGAGCATGGGGCTCAGAAGTGGGATGTGATGGGGCGGGGAGGGGAGGAGAAACTGGTCTGGAATGATCCTGTTCTGCGTGGGACCTCCCAGGGGCATTGGGTCTGCCCTGCCATGGCCATCGCCCTCCTCTGAATCTTCAGGCTTTAATCAATCGTGGTGTTAACCTGGATCCCCTGGGCAAGTGGTCGAAGACCGGCCTGGTAGTCTATGACTCTTCGGTGCCCATTGGTAAGTGTCCCCAGGCTCAGGAACCCTCCCTGCCCAGCCACTGGGGCTGCATGTCACCGGCGGGTCGTCCTCCGCAGGTGCGACGCCCGAGTACCTGGCTGGGCACTACATGCTGCAGGGGGCCTCCAGCATGCTGCCTGTCATGGCCTTGGCGCCCCAGGAGCACGAGCGGATCCTGGACATGTGCTGCGCCCCTGGAGGGAAGACCAGCTACATAGGTAGGAGGAAGGCGGGTGCTGGGGTGTACTGGCCGCGAGTCCCAGGTGGGCCATTCCCTGATTCCCTGATCCCCACCTTGTCATCTGTAAATTGGGGGAATATTTGTTTGGGTTATGAGGACAGGCCTTGGCCTGCATGTAGTAGGCTGTCACACGGTTCCGTTAAGTAGTTATCACTTGAGACAAGTGATGCAGTCTGCTGTCCAGAAAGCAGCCCGATGAAAATGATGAGTTCCCCACAGCAGGCTGGCTTCTCACTAGGCAGCCTGTGCTGGCTCGGCCTGTCCCAGAGGCAGCAGGAGTGGGGCTTCCTGGGAATGAGGCTTCACCCAGGGATGCCCGGGCCAGAGCGGCAGGTCAGCACTGTGGCCTCCTCCCCGCCCTCCAGCCCAGCTCATGAAGAACACAGGGGTGATCCTTGCCAACGACGCCAACGCAGAGCGGCTCAAGAGTGTCGTGGGCAACCTGCACCGCTTGGGAGTCACCAACGCCGTCCTCAGCCACTACGACGGGCGCCAGTTTCCCAAGGTGGGGCTTGGGGCTGTGCCTCCGCAGGGCCCTCCCAGGGCCTCTCCCCTGACTGCTGCTAGGGACAGGAAAGGAAGGCCGCCTGCCCGCCATGCAGCTCGTGCAGCTCGCAGGCAGTACTGATTCCCCCCTTCCCCCCCCAGGTGGCCGGGGGCTTTGACCGAGTGTTGTTGGATGCCCCCTGCAGTGGCACTGGGGTCATCTCCAAAGACCCTGCTGTGAAGACTAACAAGGTGAGGGCTGGGCAGGCCGGTGGGGTGGAGGACCGCTGCGGGCAGGAGGGTGCCTGTGGGAGTGCTGATGCCCCTGGGTCCCGGGACAGGACGAGAAGGACATCCAGCGCTGCGCTCACCTTCAGAAGGAGCTGCTCCTGAGTGCCATCGACTCTGTCAATGCCACCTCCAAGACAGGAGGCTACCTTGTCTACTGCACCTGCTCGGTCATGGTGAGCCCTCTGCCTGGGGGGGGCGGAGAGGAGATCGGCTCCCCTTAGAGCTCCCATCAGCTCACGCTTGCTTTTCCAGGTGGAGGAGAATGAGTGGGTGGTAGACTATGCTCTGAAGAAGAGGAACGTGCGGCTGGTGCCCACGGGGCTGGACTTCGGCCAGGAAGGTTTTACCCGCTTTCGAGAAAGGCGCTTCCACCCTACTCTGCGTTCCACCCGCCGCTTCTACCCTCACACCCACAACATGGATGGCTTCTTTATTGCCAAGTTTAAGAAGTTCTCCAATTCCATCCCCCAGTCCCAGCCAGGTGAGTGAGCGAGCGATCGGCTGCCGGTTCTTCACCATTTTCACGTGCTTGGATGAGAGGCCGCTCCTGCCCTGGGCCCCAGCAGAGTAGATGTACTGAGTGCTGGCGGGGTGGGGCCTCTGCTCCTGCAAGTGGCTGTGGTGGTTCGGCATAAAGCGCCTTCCAGGTGAGGGCTGCAGTTTTTTTTCTTCTTGGCCCCGAATTGACTTTGTGATAATATCCTGTGTTGGTCCAGCATGCTTTGCACTGGCTTGGCACAGGGCTCCTGGGCACGCTCAGCAGTTCTCGGACCTGGCACACAAAGAGCAGGTTGTCTGCTCAGCCACCTTGAGTGTGGCTTAGGTCTGCCAGGGGAGAAGGCTGCTGACATGGGCTGCTGCACTCTCTCCACAACCTTGGCTCTGGCCTGGGCTTCCGTGGAGCAGGGGGAGGAGGGCTTCAGAATACTAACGGCACGATTTATGGAGGGCCCCCACCCCAATGTATTAAACAATGCCTTTTGCCAGAGTTAAATCTAAACCTTGAGACGGGAAGCCTTAGGCAATCCTAATACCATTTGTTATACATGCTTAGCTCATCCGTCTGACTAGTGTGCTTCCAGGGGCTGCGGCTGTACTGTTGCTGCATCTCAAAATTCATCTTTTTAAAAAATGGGCCTGGATGAATAAAACAGTGTCTAGATGCCTGCTGTCCTCTAGAGGGCACAGTGGCGTCGGGAACCCTCTGGCCTGAGGCTGGACGGACACTGCTCCCCTGTCAGTGACATTGGACCCTTCTGGAGCCCATTGTTGCCCCAAGGGGTGATAACCACCCCCTGGGGGTGCTGGAGTGATCCAGGGGGGCTGCAAAAGCAGATTCCTCCACTCTATCCAGGGTGATAATTCAAAAGTTTTTCATTGTGGGAACCTGGTGTAGGACACGAGTCAAGGCCAGCTGGGTGCTGACCTAATTATGTGGAACACGGTCAAGTGGCAGTAACTCGGAGGTTCTACTGGTGCCCGTTTGTCCCCACTGATGATGAAGGCCCTTTCATGAGGAGGTCCATTTTCCCACCATCTGTTTAATTTCAGCCCCAGGCGATTCTGCAGCCGCCGCTCCTGCGACCGTAGCCTTGCCGGCCCTGAATGGTCAGGCCACCCCCAAGGCTGAGAACAGCAGTGAGCCGGCCAAGAGGGCCAGAGTTGCTGGGAAGGCCAAGCAGAAGCAGAAACATCCCAAGAAGGCCTCCTTCCAGAAGCAGAACGGCATCTCCAAAAGGACCGACTCAGAATTACCCACTGTCCCTTCTGTCACAAAGGCCCAAGCATCCTCCCAGCTCCAGAATAGCGGTCCACCAGCTGAAAATGCTCACCTTACCAGGGAACCAAGGGCACCTGGGAAGCTAACACAGCGGTCCCCGAAACCGAGAGCGCCCAAGAAAGGCGCCGGGCGGAAGCAGAATGCTCCTGCCATGGGCTCAGACCCCCAAACACCTGCTTGGCTGTCCTCCAAGACCCAGGCTGCCCCCAACTCTGAGGACCAAGGTCAGCCCCCTGAGAGGGCCAGAGGGGCTGAGCAGAGGAAGCAGCCAGTGCCAAGGCCGTCTTTGAAGAAAGCTGCCTTCCGGAACCAGAATGGCACACCTAAGGGTCCTCAGAGTCCCCTCATGCACCCCCGCAGCCCCAGCCGACCCCCACCGGCAAAGAGGAGGAAATGGCTGCCCAGGGGCAGTAGGCAGCCGCCTCCAGAAGCAGACAGTTGAAAAGTAGACTGGAATGGCTCCTTGCCGACATCACTGGGTTGGAATTCTTACCTCTGTGAGGATGCCTTGCCACTGTACACGCACGACATTTAATAGACGTTTTATAATCTCTGGCTGTGTTCTGTCGTCTTTGGGGAGGGCGGGGGGAGTTGATGGGCACTGGCACTGCGGCTTTAGGGTGGAGGGGCAGGTGCGCCCTCTGAAGGGAAGGAGCAATCTGGCGCTGCTGTTAATCAGATTCATTTCCTCAGGGACCCACAGGAGTGAGTCAGTTGCCCGGTCTGGAGACAGGGAGAGGTTGGGCGATTTTCAGATGTGTGGAGGGTGGGGAGTTAGGACCCTGGGGTTTCATGTCCCTGAACACCCCCAGCTTCATGGCAGCAGGGCCTGGGATCTGGTCGCGCAGAGACCAAGGTGCTATGGGCGCTCCTCGCAGTCCTGAGCTAGTCCTTGGACCCGGAAAGGTCCTGGACCCAGCTTGGAGCAGAGCCTTTCATTGGCCCGTTCTCTGCCCTCCTCCGCCCCCGTGACCTCTGCCCCTCTCGCTGAGCCGTCTGATTGGCTGTCCCGGGGCCCCCGGCCGCGTCATTGGCTCCTTTCCCTCGCCCTCCATCCCCGCTCCTGCACCGGTCTCCATCTCCCAGCAGAAGGCGCAGCCATGAATCCGTTATTCGGTCCCAACCTCTTCCTCCTACAGCAGGAGCAGCAGGGCCTGGCCGCGCCGCTGGGGGACCCTCTGGGAGGTGATCCCTTCGCCGGCGGAGGGGACCTGGGCCCGGCGCCGCTCGCCCCGGTCGGCCCCGCTGCCTACTCGCCGCCCGGGCCGGGGCCGGCGCCCCCCGGGGCCATGGCGCTCCGAAATGACCTGGGCTCCAACATCAACGTGCTCAAGACCCTGAACCTCCGCTTCCGCTGCTTCCTGGCCAAGGTGCATGAGCTGGAGCGCCGGAACCGGCT